ATTTGTATAATGAGTGTGTGTGTGTGTGTGAGTGTGTGTGTGTGTGTGTGTGTGTGTGTGTGTGTGTGTAAGTAAACTATAATAAATCATTAGGCGTTTGCGAATAGTGTTCACCAACATTACCCAAGAAAAAAATATAGATATGATGTGGGAGAAATATCATTTATTTCTGTGGACTGTAAGACCATGTCTAGAACAGACAGTGAACATCCCAGCACCCAAACAGCAGAAGTTCATGGGTTGATGAGTTTCCAGCAGCTGTGATTCCCTCGGGACACGCTTCTCTTCATACATGCACTCCAGGAACGAGTCAAGACGGGAAAACATCTCATCCAGAGGAGCAATAACTCAGGGGTTAGCTGTGTCAACAAAAATATCTCTCTACAGTACTTTATTGCTCCAATAAGAAAATAAAAGTTTTTTTTATTATTATTTAAAAACATTCTAAAAGAAGCTTTTGCAGTTTTATATAGAAATACAACAAAACCAAAGACATACATTACAACCAATGCAATTAATGAACATTATACAAAATAAAGTTACATTGTAAAAAAAAAAAAAAACACTTAAATAATTCCATTGGATCTCTCCTATGATATCAATCCTGGGGTAGAAACACATACTGGACAACAAGCGGAGCGGTTAAAGGGCCCCGGGGCCAGACGCGTCTGCATTACACATCGACTCCAGATTTACACAAGGACACGGAGATATTTCATTAATAGACCGTCAGTCAGACTGCGCTCGAAACTACTAACACAGTTTAGAGTTTAATAGGTTCCAAGCGGCTGTTTCTGCAGTAGTGCCACTGAATAATCATGTTGGGTTCCTCAGAGAACCTTTCAGCGATCAGTTCTTTAAAAACACTCTTTTTGCAAATCTGAAGAACATTTTAATAATCTAAATAACCTTTTTCCACTATAAAGAATGTTTTGTGAAATGAAAATGTTCCATTGATTCCATTGATTTATATCAACATGCCTGGGTTCAATTTCAACTCAAAATTATATATCCTATTTTTATTTAAACACAATATATATTTCTGAAACAGAATGCACTTTTCATATCACCATAACCCCATGTTACAGTAAGAAAATCATCACCAATAAAAAAATAAAATAAAATAATTTAAAAGTAACATGTCTGTATGCATTGCTGTGATTTTCATATATATATATATTTTTTACATTATCTTAATTATAATTTGGTGTTTATCAAGAATATAATGTTACAATGCAAAACAAGACGTTATTTTATTCTTGTAATTGTAACTTTTTAAATTGTTATTTTGGGGTGAAATGTGACCCAGACATGTTTGAGTGGGATGTGAAGCCTTGTGTCATCTGCTCTGACTTGTGTTAATACGCCTCTCTCTGCGTGTGCATCTGCTCCTGGATCTTCTGCAGCATCTCCTGCATCCGCCTCAACTGCAACAAGAACAGAACCACAGTCAAACGACTACACCACAACTGATCAATCAATACTGACCGAGCAATAAGTCTGAGTCACATGACAGAAGCGTCCATCAGGAATCTCCAGCCCAACCGATCACTGTCACGTGAGCTAATAATCAGTGAGCTCAGAGCTCTGGCACGTCTGCATGGTCAGTGAGCGCTGGAGATCGATGCGCTGTTGCGTAATGAACCACTCGATCGATGCTACAGCACGTCAACACGAGCACAACCCTGCATGGCTTCATGTCTGTCTGTCATCTGCTAAACATGTATTTCCTTTGTTTTAGATTGAAGGTGGATGTCAACATTTCCAACACTTCTCATTTTCTGACTAGTATTTAAACATGATAGAACAGTAATGCACACTCGAATATGACTGTAATTTATTTCTGTGATGCGCAGCTGTATTTTCAGCATCATTACTCCAGTCTTCAGTGTCACATGATCTTCAGAAATCATTCTAATATGCTGATTTGCTGCTCGAGAAACATTTCATCACTTCATTCGTGTGAATCCCTCCTCATTCACTGTCTTCATCTCAAGACCTGTATCAGGTTTTCATCTCTATAATGTTCTGTTTTGTGTAGAACTGCTTCTGTGTGCTGATATTTCATTTATGGTTCAGAAAGGATGCCTGGGAAGCGTAAAGATCTCAACAAACCTGCAGTGATTCAAAGCTAAAGGAAATGAAGAACTCAACTGTGCTGTGGAATAAGTTACCAGAATAAACCGTTCAACAGTGTGTCAAAAATATCCACAGTGGCTGCGTATGAATAGAGATGTGCCATATCAAATCATATCACCAGTGTTTAGAGGACTTTAATTACAGACTGAATCCAGTGCAACAAATTCATAACAGATAACGACTTCACCGCAACCCTAGTGAAAAATAAATATACTAAAATGTATAAAGTTACATTGTAAAAAAAAAAAAAAACACTTAAATAATTCCATTGGATCTCTCCTATGATATCAATCCTGGGGTAGAAACACATACTGGACAACAAGCGGAGCGGTTAAAGGGCCCCGGGGCCAGACGCGTCTGCATTACACATCGACTCCAGATTTACACAAGGACACGGAGATATTTCATTAATAGACCGTCAGTCAGACTGCGCTCGAAACTACTAACACAGTTTAGAGTTTAATAGGTTCCAAGCGGCTGTTTCTGCAGTAGTGCCACTGAATAATCATGTTGGGTTCCTCAGAGAACCTTTCAGCGATCAGTTCTTTAAAAACACTCTTTTTGCAAATCTGAAGAACATTTTAATAATCTAAATAACCTTTTTCCACTATAAAGAATGTTTTGTGAAATGAAAATGTTCCATTGATTCCATTGATTTATATCAACATGCCTGGGTTCAATTTCAACTCAAAATTATATATCCTATTTTTATTTAAACACAATATATATTTCTGAAACAGAATGCACTTTTCATATCACCATAACCCCATGTTACAGTAAGAAAATCATCACCAATAAAAAAATAAAATAAAATAATTTAAAAGTAACATGTCTGTATGCATTGCTGTGATTTTCATATATATATATATTTTTTACATTATCTTAATTATAATTTGGTGTTTATCAAGAATATAATGTTACAATGCAAAACAAGACGTTATTTTATTCTTGTAATTGTAACTTTTTAAATTGTTATTTTGGGGTGAAATGTGACCCAGACATGTTTGAGTGGGATGTGAAGCCTTGTGTCATCTGCTCTGACTTGTGTTAATACGCCTCTCTCTGCGTGTGCATCTGCTCCTGGATCTTCTGCAGCATCTCCTGCATCCGCCTCAACTGCAACAAGAACAGAACCACAGTCAAACGACTACACCACAACTGATCAATCAATACTGACCGAGCAATAAGTCTGAGTCACATGACAGAAGCGTCCATCAGGAATCTCCAGCCCAACCGATCACTGTCACGTGAGCTAATAATCAGTGAGCTCAGAGCTCTGGCACGTCTGCATGGTCAGTGAGCGCTGGAGATCGATGCGCTGTTGCGTAATGAACCACTCGATCGATGCTACAGCACGTCAACACGAGCACAACCCTGCATGGCTTCATGTCTGTCTGTCATCTGCTAAACATGTATTTCCTTTGTTTTAGATTGAAGGTGGATGTCAACATTTCCAACACTTCTCATTTTCTGACTAGTATTTAAACATGATAGAACAGTAATGCACACTCGAATATGACTGTAATTTATTTCTGTGATGCGCAGCTGTATTTTCAGCATCATTACTCCAGTCTTCAGTGTCACATGATCTTCAGAAATCATTCTAATATGCTGATTTGCTGCTCGAGAAACATTTCATCACTTCATTCGTGTGAATCCCTCCTCATTCACTGTCTTCATCTCAAGACCTGTATCAGGTTTTCATCTCTATAATGTTCTGTTTTGTGTAGAACTGCTTCTGTGTGCTGATATTTCATTTATGGTTCAGAAAGGATGCCTGGGAAGCGTAAAGATCTCAACAAACCTGCAGTGATTCAAAGCTAAAGGAAATGAAGAACTCAACTGTGCTGTGGAATAAGTTACCAGAATAAACCGTTCAACAGTGTGTCAAAAATATCCACAGTGGCTGCGTATGAATAGAGATGTGCCATATCAAATCATATCACCAGTGTTTAGAGGACTTTAATTACAGACTGAATCCAGTGCAACAAATTCATAACAGATAACGACTTCACCGCAACCCTAGTGAAAAATAAATATACTAAAATGTATTTGAAATACATTTATTTCATGCTAAGTATACTACAAATACGTTTACATATTTATGTACATAATAAAAATACTCTGCAGTTGTACTTTTGGTATACTAAACTGGTATACTTCAAGTCTGCTGAACTGGAACAAGTCTGGCGCAGAAGTAGTGCTGAAGTCCAACTAAAGATATACTGAAGTATATTTGTGCTAAAGTGGAACTACTGCGAGTAAACTTTCGGTACACTTTAAATATCTAGCATTTAGAGACCGATATTACTCAAAGATCATACAATGCTCATTAATAGTGACATTAAAACACATTTTAGGCTTAATATTAAGAAATGTGCATTGTGCACAAGTAGTTCTCCAAAAAAAGTTTAATTATAATTTTTATATCAGTAAATCTCGAGCAAAATGTCAGTAAATATGTTAATATATTTTAACTGTATACTTAGTATGAAATAAATGTATTTTTAATATATTACTTTTCTACTAGGGAATGTCTTCATATATTTTCTTTATTCTGTAGTAAGTGGATCAGAATTTTAAAACCAATTTATGTTTAAAATAATAACAAATAACATCTATTATATTCCAAAACATATACAAAATACCACAACTAAGTAAATGCTCCATTTTTGAAAGAAGTATAAAACCTTTAATGTTGTGAGATGTACAGGCGTTTTATTTGTGTTGTTATAATGTTTTATTAATTAATGTTTTATTATATTAAATAATTGTATTAATATTAAATAAAGTTGATTGTACATTACTTTGGTACAACATCTGTTGATTTAAAATGTGCTTAAAACAGAATAAGTAACCTGAAAATGTATCATGTCACACCACATTTTTTTTGCGTTAAAGCCATTTTTTGACAGTGTTTCTAAACTAGTTTTTGCGACACCTGAAGTATCAATGTAGAATTTTAAAAAAGCTGAAACTGAAAAATATTGTGTGGACATTTGTCAGATGTAATGGGTAATCAGTGTTTCCATCAGCTGTAGTGGTAAACAGTCGGTCTGGGATGCAGGGTTAAAGTGCATCATGCCAGAGACGTGCAGGCTTCTGAGACTCTACTAAACACAGATTACACAGCATGTGCTCTACTCTACTGCCTGATGCACACCTACAGGGGGCGCCAGTATAACCAGTGATCTGGAGCTGATCTGAGGTTCACGTGCTTAAACACAGGGACGGACTCTATGACGGCCTACAGACGGCTCTAGGAGCCTTTGACGTGAGGCTCGGAGGCAGGATCCTCGCACGGCTCTGGCTCTGGATGCTGCGTTTGCTCGTGTGGATCTCGGCTGGGAGAATGCCGTACCTCCTCGTCTTTCTCACGGATCAGCTTCTCCGTCTCGGTGTCGGTGACGCTGGGCACCATGGGAATGGGGAAGTCGGTGCCGCTCTCCCTGGTCAGTTTGCTGCTCGGAGCAAAACAGCACAAGCATGCACGAGAGCATGAGAACTGCTGTCGCAAACGGCAGCCGCACAAGCATTGCACACAAATCAAGTGCTTCAGAAGCAATACAGCAAAAAATCCCATGTTCATTAGAGCTAGAGTACAAAAAGTAAGCTGCTGATATTTAATTAATTGTGTGTGAATATATATATATATATGTGTGTGTGTTTGTGTGTGTATATATATAGATTAACTTCCTAATGTGTTTTAGTGACGTAACATTTAGCAGTGTTCTAGGATGTGCAGGTAAATCTGTAAAGGGGACAGGAAGTGACGTGGGTTGGCTCATCAAACCTGACAGTAATGTGATGTGTGACTGAAGCGTGACGGAGCGTGCGAGCGCGTGCGTACTTGCGGTTGCGCTCTTTCACCACCATGCGGGTCATGCTCTGGATGCAGTGCGCTCGGTAGTTCTCGTAGTGTGTTTCCCTGGTCACGTCCTTCAGATCCTGCATGTGTGTTCGGACCAACATGTTCCTCAGCTTCACGAAGTCACAGTGCGCGGGGTTCTCCACTGTCCAACAAACACACACACAGTACATATCCAGTCTGCTAATGATCATGACATAGGATGGATATCTTCATTTGGTCTTGTAAATGTAAAGAATTCGGTAAGCCCTGTATGCTTGACTGGTTTTGCAGATGGTGGGAAATGTTTTTAAAGGCGTGTTTGTTGTCAGGATCATACCTTCTACAATTCCCCAGGGGTATAGACGTCCTCGAACCCTCTTGCCTTTGGCTTCCACTACTGTGTTACTGCCGATCACAGCGAAGGGAATGCTGTCCTGAGGGAGGAGAACCATCAGACGACCATCTCAACACAAACCACGCTTTCCACAAACAGCCCGTACCAAAACACAATAAACTTAAAGTGCCCCTATTATGGGTTATGAAAGGTTAATAATTGTATTAATATTAAATAAAGTTGATTGTACATTACTTTGGTACAACATCTGTTGATTTAAAATGTGCTTAAACACGAACGTGAACTTAATAAGAACTTTTTTTTTTAATTGCTTGTCATTCAGATAATTAAGATTATTCTAAAAGAATCATTAATAGCAATTCATAATTTGCTTTATGAATTATATATATATATATTTAGATTGTTTAGTTTAGATCGTTAGATCATA